CTGGGCTGATGGCAGAGTCAATGCAAAGGCAGAAGATGAGAATGTGGAGAAAGAGGAAGATGAGGTGGAGGAGCAGGCAGAGGATGAGGTTGAGGAGGAGATAGAAGACCATAACCCAGACCACGGCCCTGTGGACCCAAGCCAGGCAGGACCCGATGAGCCCCCTGGGGCTCCCACTCCAGCCCAGATGGGCAGTACTCCTAGAGAGTGCCCAGGAGGGCCTGGCTGGGTGCCGAGCAGCCTTGCCTAGGCAGGAGAACATAAAGCAGATGATCCCATCCTGTACCAGCCTAGAAGTATTGCTGAAGGGTCAGCCCCAGAGTAGAGGAGAGGGCCTGCAGATAGCTGCTATACCCCTTGGCCTGGGAGATATTAGAGAGAAAGAGTCTATTCAAAGGATCCTGACAGCCTGGCTCTTCTACCCAGTCAGCATCCCCAGGCAGACTTATGACACTGCCTTTGGAATCTCATCCTTAACTGTTTTACTCACAGTGACCAGCTATTCAGTGAGTATGCATTTTCATACTAGCTCTCCCATCCACCACACCCTAGGCAAAGTGTATCAATCCCAGATAGGTGGAAGCCCTGACCCACCCAGCTAGCCACCACCATAGTCCCAGCTTGTGCTGTGAATTTCCATGCCAGCCAAGGCCCTGTTTGCTCTGCTTATGCCTCGTGTTGTGTATTCCTGGTCAGTTTTCTTGATATACTTGCAGGCCAGCCACTTGCTGCTTGTTCCCTACAGATGTGTGTGTTCTTACCTGAGAAGGTCCTCCACAGAGATCCCAAGCCAAGCCCTTGGAACCAGCAAAAAGGATGGGTGATGACAATCAGGGACTGGCTGATGCTCATCTTGTGACTGATTTCAACCTGGGGTGGGCACGAAGACCTGGACTAAGGATGGGTGTGATCTGACAACCAAGATTTAATGTTCCACTCTTGCTGTTACTTTGTGACACCAGTTCTTCAGTTTGATGAGATGTTCCTTTGTGTGCTTTCCAGTGTCCAGTGACTGTCTTATGCCAGAATAATTCAGGACCACCCCGCAATGGGTGATTCTTCTAGAGAGTTCCCCCAAAAGAGAGAACATTTCCAGATGCCATCATCCTGGAAAGAGGCATATCAGGGGTCCCTGGAAAGGAAGAAGCTGAGACAAGTAGGCCTTAGTGTAGCAAGCAGATGAGGTCCTTCCTCATGAAATGCAGAGTGGGATAAGGTGGGACCTGTGGCCTTTAGCAGCTGTGGGAAATTTCTGTGCTGTCATTCCCTTGCCCTCAATGGCTTCAGTAAATGTATCTGTTCAATAAATTTAATGGATGTTACAAGTTACATCCTGCTTTTGCTGGGCTTGGGCTGGGCTGGAGCAAGATTGGTATACGTGCAGGGCAGGGACATGAAGGGCTGTGTGTGTGTGTGTGTGTGTGTGTGTGTGTGTGTGTGTGTGTGTGTGTAGGTGTGCAGGGTGCGTGGGTTAATAAGAGTAGGCTGACCAGTCGCTGGTGGGTGTGTGGGGGCAGTGGCTATCTGGCTTTCAGGGGGAAGGCACTCCAGGATGACAAGAGATAGGGGTAAGTCAGTTATGAGCTCAAGTGAGGCTACAGGGCAGCAAGCAAGGCCCTTGGCCCCAATATTCTTGACTGTCAGGTATTTCAGTTAGGAAAGCATTCTCACAGAACTCAAATGCCATTTTTTTTTCACTAAAATATAGAAAAAAGAAAACTAAAAAAAAAAAAAAATCCGTGGGGCCACAAAAGGCCCTAAATAGCCAAAGCCCTCCTGAGAGAGAAAACCAAAATTGGAGGCACCAGCCTTCCTGATTTCATAATATATTACATAGATATAATGATCAAAAGAGTGCGGTAGCCAGGAATGGTGGTGCATGCTTTTAATTGCAGCATTGGGAGGCAGAGGCAGGAGGATCTCTGAGTTCAAGGCAAGGCTGGTCTACATGGTGAGTTCTAGGATGGCCAGGGCTACACGGAGAGACTCTATCTCAAACAAACAAACAAACAAACAAACAAACAAACAAAGTATGGCATTGGTATCAAGGTGGGTATCAATGGGATGGGAAAAAAGAGACAAGGAACTAGTCCACACACCCACAGAAAACTGATTTTCAGGGAAAGATGCCCCAAAATACCACAATTGGGGAAAGTATAGTCTTTTCAGCAAATAGCACTCAGGAAACTATGCATCTATGTGTAGAAGAAAGAATTTTGACCTTGACATTGTTCTTGAAGCATTTTTTTAGTTATCACATCAAAACATTAGGCAGTAAAAGCATAAAAGATTCCTTCAATCTGTAAGTGCTATATATAGCAAAAGGAAATATTCAACCAAACAAAACCACCATCTTTGGATTGGAGAAAATCATTTGTGAATTATAAACCACATGGGGGGTTAATATCTCAAATATCAATGAATTAACACAACTCAGTAGCAAAAAGCAAGGAAGCAAACAAGGACTCCCAAATCATCTGATTTAAAAATGGACAAAAGATCTCAGTAGATAGTATAGCCAGCAAGTATATGAAAATGTGCTCAACATCACCAGTCATTAAGGAAATGCAAACCAAAACTGCAATGTGAAACTACCCTAGGTGGGTTAGATGACTACTATTAAAAACACAACAGAGGCCGGGCGGTGGTGGCGCACGCCTTTAATCCCAGCACTCGGGAGGCAGAGGCAGGCGGATCTCTGTGAGTTCGAGGCCAGCCTGGGCTACAGCGCGAGATCCAGGAAAGGCGCAAAGCTACACAGAGAAACCCTGTCTCGAAAAACCAAAAAAAAAAAAAAAAAACACAACAGAGCAGAGCTGATGAACATATGAACTCACAGGGACTGTGACAGCATACAAAAGACCTGCACAAATTCAAGCCAGACAAAATCCTAGGAGATGGTGAAGAGTGCACAAAGTCTTACCCCCTAACCAAGAAGCTATTTGCAATTGATAATTGCTGGGAGAAGAAAATCAGTTTTCATTAATGGAGTGACAGTGGGTATATCAATCACACTGCAGGGCGGGCCCCATGCTCAAGAGTAAATGGCCAACACAAAACAGACTTCATGGTTTTTGTTTATGCTTGTTTTGTTTTGTTTGGGTTTGGATTTTGTTTTGCTTTTTAAGGGCATACACCATGGGGCCAGTAATGAATGTGGAGAGACTTTCACAGTTTGAAAGCAGGGATCTGGGAAGAGTTGGGGGGAGGGGAAGAATATGATCAAAATATATGAAAATTTAAAAAAATAAAATAAAATAAATCACAGCAAATAGCAAGTGCTGGAGAGGCTGTGGAGAAAACCAAGGTATTTTTCACTGCTTATGGGGATGTCATATATTACAGAAAAAATAGTATAAACATCCTTCAGACAGTTAAAACTAGAACTATCATATGACCCAGCAATCTTCTGTTGAGTCTATGTGCAAAGCATATACAATCAGCACCATGTTAAAATTGCCGCGTTCCCATGTGCACTTGTATAGTATTCACAATAACCAAGCCACGGAATCAATCCAAGTGTCTATCAATGAGTAATGTGATGTGATGGGTGGTGTGTGTGTGTGTGTGTGTGTGTGTGTGTGTGTGTGTGTGTGTATCTGAGAGAGAGAGACAGAGACAGAGAGAGAGAGAGAGAGAGAGTGGAAACTTGATACTCTTGTTTAAAAGATAGAACTAAGCTCTTTCTTACTTTGGAAATTTCACATCCACATTTTGCTTCAGTGTATTTATATTTCTATCCTTCTTCCCTCGCATGTATTTTCTTCTAAAAATGCTTTGTTTTATCTTGAAAGACTCTAGAACCCATTGCTGGTAGGCCTTTTTGATTTTTAAGTCCTGAGCTGATGCATTTAAGTACTTCAAGATACATATTACACAGTGAGTGAGGAGTATGCTTCCCTTTTGGAAAGATGAGAAACAGGAGCTGTGGAAGGAACTGGGAGTCCACAGGAAGAAGCCGCCAGATTTCAAGCATATTCAAGAATCAGAATATGAAACTCCAGGAAAGTTAAATTCACTGGAACCCCTAAATTTGAGAACATATTTGCACATGAGGCACATGCCCCTCACTTTTGATAGTGGTGGGGCTGGAGTCCACGTTCTCTCACATGCTTGGCAAATATTGTACCACTGATCTGCACAGCAGGCTCCTAAACCCTACTTATAGATCCCTGGACGTACACCACGGGGGCAGTGATGAATGTGGACAGACTTTCACAGTTTGAAAAGAACCTGGAAAGTAGAAGCTACCCATCTTTGTGTTTGTGTTGCATTACTCAGGAGGTTGGGGACATGGATAGTGGGCCACTGGTGTTATTAATGATGGTCCTTAACGCAATGCAGAGTTCTGTGCAGCTGGTCCCTATCCCAGAAACTGAGAGTCAGGTTCCGTGGAGGCGAGACCTGCTTAATCCAGACATTGCTGCATCAAAGGTTACTCTCATCCTAGCCAGTACCCTCACTCGGTTTGCAATCGGTTTGTAATCGTTAAATTCTACAAGGACAGGTATTATTTCCATTTGGATCCTATGCTCCACTCTGGGACCAGGGAGTGCCTGGCCCAACTCAGAGCTGAGGCAGGAGTTAACATCCTGTATCCTCACTCTGTCCTCTACTATCCATGAGCACATCACTTGTAGGGGACAGAGGTGGTGAGTTAAAAAAAAAAAAAAAAAGCCAGCATTCATACCGTGGGCTTCCTGTTGTTCCTCAAGCAGCTGAAAATAGCTTGGCAGTATCTCTGGTTAACGAGATTGTCTCCAGAGTGCGCAACTCCACGCCCCTAAAGGGGAGGATCATGGGTAGATCTGGGCCTGCGCCTGGACAGCGGACTACAGCTCCCAGAACGCTCCGGAGCACCTAATGGGCCTTAAAGGGGTGAATAACAATTCTTTTCCGGCTGTGCAGGAAACTGAGCCACTGGCTGGGCTAGGAAATGCGACTCCTGGGTCCAAGGGAAGGCTCCCTCTAAGGTGGCAATAGAGGAAGTGGCTGGTGTTCTGGTCATGCATGGGAGAGGAGGGGGATTGTGTGGGGAGCATTCACACGGTAGGGGTCTGTACCTAGGGGATCGCCTCTCAGAGTTCAGGACAACTTCAGAAACTCAGATGTCAAGCCAGGAGGTGTAAACAGTGGTGAGCTGTTTGGCTGGGTTGTCGTAGTGACTACCAGACCTAGGTGCCCAAGAATGGCATAAAGAAGACCAGAGTGTGGCCCCGAGACTCACAGACTGCATCCCAGGATTCTAGCCTGTGCCTCTTGACCCTAGGCCCAATCCGCGCACGCGGATTGTGTGCATGCGTGCGTGCGTGCGTGCGTGTGTGCGTGTGTGCGTGGTGTGTGAATGGAGTTCCTGTGGCAGTCATCTTCCTCCTGGTCTGAGACAGGATCTGTTCCTTGTTCTCCCTGCTGACCCAGTTTCTAAGGATTCTTTTCCATCTTGCCTGAGAACAGTGATGCTTCTAAGCATCTGGCTTTCTGTGAGTTCTGGGGATTTGAACTCAGGTCCTCTCAGTTGCTTGGCAAGTATTTTGCCATTGAGCTAAATCCTCGGCGCAATTCCCAATCCTTTGATCCTAAAGAGCTCTGTGCAGGAGCATTACTGGACCAAGGGTTTGATGCGAGACCACTCCTCAGATGGGAAGGTAGGGAAACGTTAAGATAACACACGAAAACTAATTAGCTCTCAGGTTGGGGTCGACCAGGAGGGAATTAGCTTTTGAAATCTAATAGATTTTCTATCACGTCAAAACAAACTGATGAAACGAATTAAAAATGTGTTTTATTTTACCCAACAAATCCAAATGTTTTATTTCAACATGTGATCAATACAAAATGTTATCAAGAATAGTTTTTTGTTCAAGTTTTTGCACTAACTCTTTGACGTTGGTATGTATCTGGCCTGAATAGCACATCTCAACACAGACTGGCCGGGTGTCCAGTACCTTAGAGCCATGCTTGGCTTAGTGGTAGCCTCACTGTGCTGCATAGCTCCACAGTGTTCTGTGGAGCACTTCTACTGTAGAGCTTGGTATGGAGTAGTTCAGATGTAACCTTGGACCAGGCGGAAACCCTGCCTTGCCAGGGTTTCTGCCTCCTTTCCTCTCAATTACTCCTTTGATTTTGGCTTACATTTACCGAATGCACTGCTCAGTCTTTTGTCTCATTTTGAGCTCTGGTGCCTTTGAGGAGTATAAGCAGATGTTGGTGCTGCTTCACCTGATGGGACTACACAATCAGTGTGGGCATTTTTTTTTTTTGTTGTATGTGCTTGTATGCTTGCTGCAGGAAGAGCCAGAGTCACTCAGGGTCTCTTCTTTCCTGGCCCCCACTCAGAAATTCCTTTAAAGACTCTGAACTTCTCAATGGATGATCCAGAGGAAGAGGACAAGGCTGATGGGCTCCAGACAGTCTGTTCAGAGGTCAGTTGGAATTCTTTCCTTACTCACAGAAAAAGATTAAGAAATTCTTACTTAGAGAGGTAAGATGTTGCCTTCTTCTGACCTGGATTGTCTGCTACCATTTGATCATGTTTCATATTTTTGAGACATACTGTGCCAAAGTCTTTTCTGATAGACTAAAGTTGAGACCCTGACCCAGCCCCAGGCATCAGAGGTTTTTTTTTTTTTTTTTTTTTTTTTTTTTTTTTTTTTTTTTTTTTTTTTTTTTGTGTGTGTGTGTGTGTGTGTGTGTGTGTGTGTGTGTGCATGTGTGTCCATTGTGAGGGAAGAGAAAGAGAAAAAAACTGTGAGCATGAAATTGTAAAATAATAGGAAACAGTGAGATGCTTTCCATTCACCCCCAAGAATTTTGAGCAGAAAGTGGCATAGGGAAAAAGAAGGAGAAATGTAGGCTGCATGTGTAGATTTGGAGGTGATGGGCAGGAGCATTCCATGTTAGAGGCAAGAAAGAGTAAAGGGTCAGGAACAGAAAGGAAGTGGTGTCTGATCCACTGGAACTGGAGTTACAGATGATTGTGAGCCTCCATGTGGGTACTCTCAGTCCTCTGAAACAGTAGCCAGTGCTCTTAAGTACTGAGCCATCTCTCCAGCCCTAGAAAGGTTTTTTTGTTGTAATGAATTATATAAACAAAGTTGTACTTTCTTAGCAAGTTAAATGTATAGTTCATCAGCACCTAGGGCATTCACAATGTCGTGCAAACAATATCATCCTTCATCTATGGAATTTTTTTCCTTCTTTTCCCCAGACTGGAGCTCTTTCTCCTCTAGACATGAACTCCCCAGTAGTCATCTATCTATTTTCTGTCTCCATGGCCTGGGGCGGGGGGGGGGGGGGGGGGGGGGGGGAGTGTGTGGGGTGTGTACCATAGGACCTCTGGGTTGCATCTTCAATCATTTGTCCTTTCATGTCTTGCCCCTTACATTGAACATAGTGGCCTCCAAGTTGGTGTCTACACTTTTAACTGTCAGCCTTACTGAAACTTATTGTAGACATTGAGAAGCAGAGCAAATTTTAAGATGAGGGCTGCTCCTTTGGAAATGGTAATTAGAGTAAGCCTAAAGGTTGTAGAGGAAACAGGATATTCACTGACTTGGCTTTTGTTGTTCTTTAATTTAGAAGTCTAGCAGAATGCCAGTTCCCACATTCCTTAAGTAAATAACCATTTGTGAACCTCAGGAATTCCTCCAAAATTCCATTGCTTGACACTGGAAAGGTTTTAAAGATCTAACTTGCTGAGCCATGCCAATGCATAAAATTGAGGGGATGGGAAGCCCCACTATTTCCTAATCAGTTAGCTCAAATATAGCTAACATATTCCTTAAGAGCTTGTTTCCCGTGGTGTGGTCATGGGGTGCAGACTGTTCAGACATGTACAGATACCACAAGGAAATACTTGGTGGCTCTTTGGTCCTAGTTAATCCTTTCAGTGGGTAAAAGGAAAACAGGAAGGAGACTCTTTTGTAGTTGGTTGTTTTTTTACTCTTAATTCTTTGGGATCCCACCACCCAGGTCCTAAATGGAGTCTTATTATTACTTATAAATTCCTGGCCTCAGCTTGGCTTGTTTCTAGCCAGCTTTTCTTAAATTATCCCATCTATCTTTTGCCTCTGGGCTTTTACTTTCTCTATTTCTCTATACCTTTCTTTACTTCATAGTCCGTGGCTTGCTGTGTAGCTGGGTGCCTGGCCCCTGATGTCCTCCTCTCCTCCTTTTCTCATCCCTTGATCTTCTCTTCCCAGATTTCTCCTTCTGTATATTCTCTCTGCCTGGCAGCCCGGCCTATCCTTTCTCCTGCCTCGCTATTGGCTGTTCAGCTCCTTATTAGACCATCAGGTGTTTTAGACAGGCAAAGTAACACAGCTTCACAGAGTTAAAAAATTCAACATAAAGGAATGCAAAATATCTTTGCATCGTTAAACAAATGTTCCATGGCATAAACAAATGTAACACATCTTAAAATAATACTCTACAACACTGTTTAGTCTTTTAATGCTGTCTCAGGACAAGAAATGTCTTGTTCCAGTGGTGTTATGCTAACTTTCAAATTAAGAAATATAAATCAGTCTTCAACCAGAAAAGGTTTATTAGTAATTCACATTGCCAGGGTGAGGTGCTTACCTCAGTATGTAAAGTGCTTGGCCTGAAGGCATAAGGATTTGAGTTTGATCTTCAGAACCCATGTGAAAAGCTAGACAGGGTGGCTTTCACTTTTGATTCCAGCTTTGAAAAGGCAAAGACAAGTGGGTTCCTGGATCTCCCTGGCCAGCTAGCCTTGTATTCTCATTGAATTTTAGGGCCAATGAGAGATGCTGTTTGAGAAAACAATGTAGAAAGCTCCTGAGGAATGATACCTGAGGCTGACCTCTGGCCTCCACACAACTCTTCACAAACACGTGCTGTCACCCCTTCATAAAAGTGAACATGACACAGGAGAGCCCACATGCATGCACCATGCAAACACACACACATACACACAAACAGACCCAGCAAAACTTCCATTGCATAGTTGTTGCCCCTTTGGACTTAAGTATAGGGAATTCTAGGATTAAAAAATGAGACAGGGTTTCTAGGAGATCCTTTCCTGGCAGTTGTCATTCAGGCCACTGGATGGCTTTTTTGCAGGTCTGGTGGCAGATGCTGGTTCTTTCATGAATAGGGTTGGTCATGTTGCAAGGAGGTCCTTTGTGAGGCCTAGAAAGATTTGGGTCACATTTCTGGGAATACTTCATAGCTTGGGCTATGAATGCTGCTCACACTACTAGGCAATCCTTCCAAAGTTTAGGGGCACATGCTTGCAGCCTGTGTGTGGATTTCACTTCATGCTACTGTTCAGACCGCATTTGTACTTTCCTGAATACCATGTGGTTCCAACTCAAATACTCTTCCCACTCCCAGTCTAGAGGTACTCTGGAGGCTAGGCTAGAGCATTTAGTACTGTGACAGTATCTGTGGGTTCCAAGAGTGTGTGCTGCAGTAAGGATCTTTTTCCTCTATGTCTCCAAGTCACCAACTAACTCATCAGGGGTCTTTTCAAATTAGCCTCCTGGGAGTGCAGAGATGGCTCAGTGGTTAGGAGCCCTGGCTGCTCTCACAGAGGAGCCAGGTTCAGTTCTCAGCACCCACATAGCAGCTCACACCCACATGTAACTTCAGTCCCAGGGGATCCAATGCCTTTTTCTGGCCTCCTAGGGCACTGCACACATTTGATACACAGGCATACATGCAGGTAAAACATCCATACACATAAAACTTTAAAAATAAAAAGAAATAGCTTCTTGCAGCTACTCTGACAGTGATGAGGAGAGAGTTTTTCTGGGGCCTGAGTTCACTCTGCCAGTGCCTTAACACTGCCCGACTGAGCTTTTTAAATTAACTCCCCCCTCTTTCTTTAAAATGGCTCTCACTGAGAACACTTGATGGGTTTTCTGAGGCTCTCCGTCTCAAGTGGTGGTTACAGCCTTCTGCAGTTGCAGTTCCACAAGCAGGGCAGATTACTGCAGGGTGGACTTTGTACTCTCTCCTGTGTTGCTCTGATAGTTTCCTATTTTATTTTGTTACCAAAACTACAGATTCTCTGCCAACACCAAATTTTTATGGTCACTGCTCTTCAACTGTTCCTGGTTTTTGGAGACACAGGTGACTTCCTGTATGTCATTGACACCTTCTGGAAAGATTTCCTTTATGTTGATTGCTTCTGTTGGAGGTACCAATTGTTACAAGGATTTAAGAGACCTTGAGGTCTAAATGAGGCTTGGTTTCCATAATGCAGTATTGTTTCTCTTAACATAATTCTCTTAGCATAACAAACTCATGCACGGAAGACACAGAGTTTGAGAGAATAAGGGATTAAAGGAATCAGTTCTTTTGTAGATATGAAAGTAACTAGGTTTCCAAGGCATAATCTGCACTAGCGAGTGCACACATCTATTCAGTGTTTACTATCCATTTTATGAAACAGTGTTTTCATTTGAATTTGAAATCCAGTGTAAAAATTGACTGTGTAATACCACATTAGCTGCTCTATCTAGTCTGTGACACCAAGTTCAGTCTTCTACTCACCCATGGACAGGTTTGTTTGCTTTTCCTTATTGTCTTTTGGAAACATAGGAACTCAGAACAGCTGTCTGCTTGTGGGTTACTGGGCTTGCTCATCTCTAGCATACTTGTATTCCCTTTGGCCCTGTAGCAATGCTTGGGACTCAAGAGTCAGCCTCGGCCCCGGACCCCATCCCTGGGCACCAGCCACTCCAGGGAAGACCTGCCCAACTTGGCCCCAGGTTCTGGCCACCGGGCAGGTTCCCTGCTAGCCCCACCGGGAAGGATCCCCTTCTCCAAGACCCCTGGCAGACCCTGCAGTCTCCACGCTCTGCCCCCACGCCCATTCCCCTGAGCCCCAAGCCTCTTCCTGAGACTTAGAGGCCGGCCCCCAGCTCCCATCTTGCTCCGGACTTCCCTTTTGGAAAACTGGTGAGTACCCTTCCTTGCCCCAGACCCCATCCCTGGGCACCAGCCACTCCAGGGAAGACCTACCCAACTTGGCCCCAGGTTCTGGCCACCCGGCAGGTTCCCTGCTAGCCCCACCGGGAAGGATCCCCTTCTCCAAGACCCCTGGCAGGCCCTGCAGTCTCCACGCCCTGCCCCCACGCCCATCCGCCTGAGCCCCAAGCCTCTTCCTGAGACTTAGAGGCCGGCCCCCAGCTCCCATCTTGCTCCGGACTTCCCTTTTGGAACACTGGTCTGGCTGAACCAAGTGTGCGGATAAGGCCAGTAACGAAGCACAAGGAGATGGGCAGACGTCAAGGCAGAAACATATACAACAAAATGAATAGCAATACAGCATCACCAGGCCCTAGCCCTCCTCCAACACCTAGACCTGAACATCAGAAATTGGAAGAAGCAGAAGAAAACAGCCTTATGAATGACATCATGAAGAAGCTAGAGGCTTGTGTAGAGGAAAAGA